AAATAAATAAAAAGTAAAAAAAAAAAATATTGTGGCTTTGAGATGGCTTCATATATATACAGTCACAAAATGGTTTGAATAAATGCAACGGTATTTTTCTGTCGCAAAAAAAAAAAAAAAAATTAAAAAAAAAACGACATCGTCTTACTCTTTTGATATAACATTTCTCTTTTCACCCATTTTTTCATCATCTTCTTGTCTCTCTGTCTCTGTCTCTTCTCTTTCTCTCTCTCACTCATTACTCTTCTCTCTCTGTCTTTCTCTCTGTCTGTCTGTCTCTCTTTCTTTCTCTTTGTCTCTCTCATCTCTCTTTTCTCTATCTCTCCATTCATCTCTCTTCTCTCTATCTCTTTCATCTCTCTTCTCTCTATCTCTCTCTCTCTGTCTCTCTCGCTCGTCTCTCTTCTCTCTCTGTCTCTTTCTTTTTCTATGTCTCTCTCTTGTTCATCTCTTTCCGCTTTCTTTCTCTCTCTCTTTTTCTATCTCTCGCTCATCTCTTGTTTCTCTCTCTTTTTCTGTCTCTAACTCTCTCTATCTCTTTCTTTCTATGTCTCTCTCTCTTTCTCTCTCTGTCTGCTTGTCTATTTCTCTGTCTCTCTCCCTCTCTCTCTCCACTGTGTTCGCCTTGCTCACTCTCTCCATCCCCTCTTGTCTATTTACCAAGCTCCCTCTCGATTTATCGATCTACTACAAGAAAATAAACTTTTACCGACCACTTTGTCTCTCTCTCTCTCTTGCTCATCACTCAATCTCTGTCTCTCTCTCTATCTCTCTTCTCTATCTGTCTCTCACTCACCTCTCTCTCTCTCACAACCCATCTCCCCTACCACCTTCACTACTACTGCAAATGTTATTCCACTACCACCACTACTACCATTGTTGCCACTCCACCTCTACAACTACCATTACTACCACCATCACCACCACTCAACTATCACCACCACCACTACTGCCACTACTACTATCATTACCTCTCCTCCACCACCGCCACTCCATCTCCTCTACCACTACCACAACTTCGCCATTAATCTCCTTCGCCATCACCACCACCACCACCATCACCTCTTATCCACCACCTTCACCACTACTGCCGATTCCTCTCTTCTACCACAAAAAATTAGTTCCTGATTTTTAGTAACAAAAAAAAAATAGGCTGCAGAAAAATATTTTTCATTGACCACAAAAAATTAACTTGATTTTAACAGAAAATATTTTTCATTAAAATATTACCCCTACTTCTACCAAATAAAAAAATAATAATTTTTTTTCATTAAAATAAAAATGAAACAATTAGGCTCTGTTTGTTTATGTTTTCAAACTACTTTTCTACACCAGAGTTTGAATATGATGTTTATTTAGTGTTTTAGAATCACGTTTCGAAAGCTCTATGGAGAACTCTGTCTCAGCCGCTTTCTCAGCCGCGCTTTTCAGAATTTTTTTTTGAAAATTTTGCCTGACGGGACGTCCAGCCGGTTGACCGAAATATTGATTTTTTTTTTTTTTTTTGCAATTGATATGTTAATCTTTATATAATCGAAAAAAACATTTTTCTGAAATTTTTAAAAATTTTTATGTGCTTTAAATAATTTTGAATTGTATGTTTAGTTATGAGTTGTAAATTTTTGTATCAAATATCAAATGTCACATCAACAATTCCCTACTCAAATCAAAACTCTTTTCAAAACTATTTTCAAAACTCTTTACCAAACAAATTTTCTACACTCAAATCATAATTCTAAACCCCACAAACTCAAAATACAACTCATACTCTCAAATCATAATTACAAAACACAACCAAATGCAGGCTTAAATTTTCGACCTTGGTAACTAAAAAAAAATCAAAAATCAAAAAAAAAATCATTAACTGCAAAAAAATAAATTGATTTTAACAAAACGAAAAAATTCGATCTCAAATTTTCAATGTCCAATCCCTTAAACAAACCATCCCAATTTCAAAAATCTCCAAAATACAATACACGTCGTTTTGGAGGGTTTTTTTTTTCTTTTCTTTTCTTCTTCTTCTTTCTTTCCTTCCAACACTGCTATGTCTCTGTCTCTCTGTCTCTCACTAATAACTCTCTCTCTCTCTCTCCTCATTTCTGATTGCAAATTGAATCGGAGAGAGGAGCAACAATCATCGACCCTTCTTCTTCTTCTTTCTTATTTTGATTTTCCCCTCTGGTTTCTGGGTCTCTAGATCTGCCTCTCTGCTTCATCTTTTTTTTACCCACAAACCCAAGAACTAAAATCAAATTTCTCATCATCATCATCATCAAACCAAGAATAATTTCTCTGCTTCATCTATTTTGGCCCGTTCTTGTTTTGCTTTCCCCCTTTTCGTTTTGAACCCTAGCCTCTGAGAGAGAGAGGCGATCTGGGTTTGATTTCTTGGGTTTTCTGAAGCTCCAAAGATGGACAAGAAGAACCCATTTTCTGTTCAGAATTAGTTGTGTATAGCTTCGTGGATGTAATGTTGAAAGCTGCTTGAACATTAAACGTTCAAGTGCTTTACATTGATTGTGAAGTTTTTATAATTAGGGCCTGCTAAGAAATTTAAATCTTATGCTTCTGAGCTTGAGTTCAAGAAAGCGAGCAGAACAGGAAAAGAAAGTCTACTTTCCTTAGTAGTTAATGCTTTCTCTCCTCCTTTAACAAAATATTTAAAAACTTGGAGCAATAGTTCAAAAATCAATAAAAAAAAATATAAGGCAAAAAATGGTAACCTAAAATTAAGATTGTCTCTTCATCATATTTTCTTTTGACCCCCTGTTTTTCTTGGTAATCAAACAAGGAAAAGTGTTTTTCTTTGCATTTTCTTCCCCTTTCCTTCACAAATGGGAAGCCAAATATAGCCTCAAAGTCGCAGGGCCTAAACAGAGATGGCAAAAATCCCCAAAAAATAAAAGAATCAAGAAATGAAAGAATTTAAATAGAATTGAAAGAGACCCAAAAAATGGATTTTGTGAATAGAGAGAGAGAGAGAGAGAGAGAGAGAGAGAGAGAGAGAGAGTGGTGAGTTGTGGTGTTGTTGGGTATGTGATGTGTTGGTGCCTCTCTCTGTGTTGTGAAGAAGAAACAGCCTCAACAACCGAAACCCATCAGCAGAGAGAGAGAGAGAGAAAGAAAGAAAGAAGAAGAAGAAAAAGAGGGAAAAAAAAAAACCCTCCAAAACGATGTCGTTTTGGAGGGCGATAGGAAAGCGCTGCAGGAGAGTGCGACGGAGGATCCAGATTCACCCCATAAAGGGCAGATAACTGTACTGTGGGTCCGGAGTACTGTAAAAAAATTTATAAAAATAAAAAAATATTACATTTTAATTAGTAAAGTGTATAAAATTTATCATTGAATTTTTTTTTTTTTTTTTCCTCACTGGGCAATAATTCTCTCTAAAAGTAATTTGAGAAAAAGAAGAAAAAGAGGAAAAAAAAAACCCTTCAAAACGATGCCGTTTTGGAGGGCGATAGGAAAGCGCTGCAGGAGAGTGCGACAGATCAAAATTTTGTTTCTTACGATCTCAAATCCTCAATCCCTTCGACAAAAAATCCCTAATTTCAAAAATCCCCAAAATACAATACAATACTATCTCTCTCTCTCTCTCTCTCTCTCTCTCTCTCTCTCTCTCTCTCACACGACAGCAAGCAGCGGCAGTGGCAGCAGCAGCAAGGGGGGGACGGCGACGAGCAGCAAGCGACAACGACTAGCAGCAGCAGTGGCGATGACGAGGATTTCATCTAATTGACGTTCATTTATCTCCAACAACGACAGTATCTACTCTTTCTGTTCATTCTTCGATTGATCTCCTCTTCTCCTTTTCTCTATATCTGAAACCTTCTTTGAGACTATACTTTGTAAATTGTAATCTTCTTTAATTCGCCAAAAAAATTAGGGTTTCTTTTATTTGTAAATTAAGACGGTGTAAAGCATGATTAGATTCACAATCAGAAGAAATTGCCAAAGCAAATACACAAATCACTCACCCAGCAATCCATCAAGTTCCTAATCGGCAGAAGGTAAGTATCAAAAAAACTCTCTCTATTTATATTTGTATCCTTTTGTTTTTTGTTTTTTTAATGGATATAAAACTAATATGGGTGAGAGTATTTTGGTATTTTTGATGGGTTTATTATTAATTTTGATGGGTTTATGATTAATTTTGTTGGGTTTAATTCACATAAGTCCTTTTGAACTCTTGGTTTTTTTTTTTAGTGTTTATGATTTTTTGTGCTAGTTTTGAATGTTGAGGAAGGTGGTGTTTTTTTTTTTGAACTTTGGCATTTTTATTCTGTTATAACGAAGATGGTGTTCCCAGGAGAAAGCAGTATAAGGTGGTGATTCAGTATAGGATGGTCCCTCCCCTAGTTTGTGTGTTATAAGGTGCATATTGGATGGTGTTCCCTGGAATTGGACCAATTCCTGCAATGTAGCTTCATTTACATTTTGCATTTTTTTGAGTAACAATTTATGTCTATATTAGGTTAGTAAGCAAATGTCTATTTCCTTTGTTATTGACTAATACTGGTATTAGTTTTTGGAACTTGGTTGCCTCTTGTTGCATTTTTATAATTTTCAGCCCTTAAACTCCTGAATTGGGCATTGTTAAGCTAATTTCAAGAGAATCAATACGCACCTCTATATTTTGTTCATATGATTACTTAGTGGAGAAATTTTTTGACCTTAAATTCTCATCCACCACTAATCAGAGTTTTTCTCTCTATTTACTCAATTACATTAGTGGGTTTAAACATCACCTAAGTATTCTGTTAAGCTAATGAACCTAACTCTGTGTGGCTGGCGAAAAATAATTCCTCTGCTAAATCCAAATAATTTGTATGAGGTCTTAATCATGCTACTATTGTTGTAAAGGGTTTCTCACAGAAGACAACTGAGGAAGATTTATACCAGATCATTGTACTTTTCTACTCAATATTTTTAATTACTTCATTTGTTAATTCTTGTAGTTTACCGCATTGGCTACATCTCATTATTTTTACCATCAATAGGCTGAATGGGGACCACTTCGCCATGTCCTCGTGATCAAAGAACGCAATTCAGGCATCTCTCGTGGCTTTGCTTTTATTGATTTCCCTTCTGTGGTATCGATTAAGCATATCATGTCAACATTTGATAGTTTGGCATTATGAAAGGCACATGTGAGTTAAATTGTTGTGAAACAAGGAGTTGCATGTGCAATGATGGATAAACTTGGAGACGAAGGTCTTGTTATGGATGGTAGGAAGCTCTTCTTCGAGTACAGGTACAAGCATTTTTAATGCAAGTTTGGTACACTTTTTTTGGCGCATCAGAGGCCATAGCCTAGGGGATAGGAAATTGAACACTTTTTTGGTACACTTTAATTAATTTTAATGCATGCTTTGCTTTTGCATTGTCCAATTACTGAGTTACAGTGCTTTCATCTTATTGGATTTGAATTATATGTTATTGTCTCAATGTTTTAGGCATTGTATTATTCTTTCTTAGTTTTTTAGAAAGATTCTTCATGGAAAACAGCGTGGGTGAGATTTGGACCATATCTTATTCAACTTCCGTTACAAACTTTTGATTGAGATTTTTGTTAGTTTTGTTCTTCTATGCAACCAAAATGTTCCACTAATTTATCTGTAGCTTTAAGCTGTCATATATGAATTCTGTTTTTTATTACAATGTGTAACTCTGTCATGGGAAGCTTATGATCCAATATATGCTCTTTCTACTGATGTTGTTTCAAGCTTGGTTGCTCTAAGAAGGGAAGATTCTAAAGACTCTCAGCGATGGCATACAAGTTCAAAACTGACTTCTTTGCCAATGCCAAACAAACACAGATAGAAAGACACCTCTCTCTCTCTCTTTCTCTCTTTCTCTCTCTCTCTCTCTCTCACACACACACACACACAGACACACACACATACACATGCACACACACATCTGCGTCCAGACCTAAGGAAAAGATGCCTCCTCCGCTGCCGGGCTCGACAAGGCCTCCATCAATTGCTTGCCAATCATCTCCTACTAATTGAGCGGCCTGAGCTCCGGCGACAGTTGGCGAGTGGGTGAGCGCTCGATATGCCTCGGTGCGTTCCAAGATGGAGAGCCCCGCGCAACTCCATCGTCGTACCACAACGTCTAAGAACAAAATTTCCTACGACATCGCCGAACCACCATCGTCGACCTCATCTATGTCCAGATCTGAGGAAACATCACTGTGTTCTATGTCCTCCTGTCTCTGACTCTGCCGAAATCGGTGATCAATATCACCACCTTCCTCCACGACCCTTTCCTCAAGAGACCCGCACAACTCCGCAGCCGTGCCACGACGTCGAACGACGGAGTTTCCTCCGGCGCCGCCAAACCACCACCACCACCACCATCCAGATCTGGTATTCGGCGGGTATCTTCTACTCAAAACTATGTGTGTATGTGTGTCAGGCATGAGATTTTTTCAATCGGTATGTACAGATAAAAAAATTGAACAGATTAGATCTATTTTTAACATATTAAAAAATTGAATTGCTACTTTAACATATAAATTTTTTTTAACAGATAGGTAGAATTTAGGAGAAAAATTGAACATACAGATATAAATTTAAACAAATAGACAAAATATCTGTGAGTGTGTGTATGTATGAGACAGATTTGAAAAAAAATTGAACAGATCAATATATAATCTAACAGATAATTCAACATATAGGAATTGCTGCAGATATAGATATATAGAATTTAAGGGGGGAAAATGAACAGATAGATAGATAGGGGAAAATTGGACAGATATTCAAAAAATTGAACGGATAGATATAAATTTGAACAGATAGACAAAATATCTGTGAGTGTGTGTATATATGAGACAGATTTGAAAAAAAAATTGAACGGATAAGTAAATAATCTAACAGATAATTCAATATATAGGAATTGCCGTAGATATTGATAGATAGAATTTAGGAGGAAAATGAACAGATGGATAGATAAGGAAAAAATTGAACAGATAGTCAAAAAATTTGAACAAATAGATATAAATTACTCTGTGGTATGCTTGTGTAATGGTGGATATTCTTATTCAAATATTTCACTATTGTTAATTCAATGGGTTAAGTGTCAGTGCTGTTTTCTTGCAGGCCCCATCTGCTACTGTTGTTGTGAAGGGTCTCTCACAGAAGACAACCGAGGAAGATTTATACCAGATCCTTGTACTTTTCTACTCAATATTTTTAATTACTTCATTTGTTAATTCTTTTTGGTCATGTTTGATTCACAAGATTAATAGTGAAGTATTAATAATCTTATAAAATTAGTGTGGTATTCACTATCCAATTGGATTAATATCCTTTGGATTAATAATCCCACCCCTATCCCATTACTAATAATCCTACAAATTTGTTGAATTAATTATCCATTGGATTAATAATCCTAAACTAAAATGTTAAAACAAACATAGGATAATTGGGCTCACGAATTAATAGTCTTAATCCCATACTCTAATCCACCCAATCAAACATGACCTTAGTTTACTACATTGGCTACATCTCATTACTTTTACCATCAATAAGCTGAATGGGGACAACTTCGCCATGTTCGTGTGATCAAAGAATGCAATTCAGGCATCTCTCATGGCTTTGCTTTTATTGATTTCCCTTCTGTCGTATCGATTAAGCATATCATGTCAGCATTTGATAGTTTGGCATTATGAAAGGCACATGTGAGTTAAATTGTTGTGAAATAGGGAGCTGCACGTGCAATGATGGATAAACTTGGAGACGAAGGTCTTGTTGTGGATGGTAGGAAGCTCTTCTTCGAGTACAGGTATAAGCATTTTTAATGCAAGTTTGGTACACTGTTTTTGGCGCATCTGAGGCCATAGCCTTGGGGATGGGAAATTGAACACTTTTTTGTTACACTTTCATTAATTTTAATGCATGGTCCTCTTCTGAGCACTGTTATAGTAGTTGTCTATAACTACTATATAGTGAAAGCGCACTAATATGTTCATTATGTTAATTTTAATGCATGGTCCTCTTCATGTATGCACTCACACAATTTTTACTTTCTAAAGGGATTGAAACACATTAGGCAGTGAACCATATAATTTTCGTAAGTGTTCAATAACTATATAGTGAAAGCACATTAGGCAGTGAAGCACATTATGCTTTGCTTTTGCATTGTCCAATTACTGAGTTCCAGTGCTTTCATCTTATCGGATTTGAATCATATGTTACTGTCTCAGTGTTTTAGGCGTTGTATTATTCTTTCTTAGCTCTTTAGAAAGATTCTTCATGGCAGATAGTGTGGGTGAGATTTGGACCATATCTTATTCAACTTCCGTTATGAACTTTTGTTTGAGATTTTTGTTAGTTTTGTTCTTCTATGCAACCAAAATGTTCCACTAATTTATCTGTAGCTTTAAGCTGTCACATATGAATTCTGTTTTTTATTACAATGTGCAACTCTGTCATGTTGCAGTAGTAGGCCGACTGGGGGGACAAGTGGACCATCGTTTGGACCAGATAATGCGTTAAAATCTGGTCATGGTAACCATAAAAGTATCACAGTACCATCTGATTGGATGTGCACCATCTGTGGCTGCGTAAATTTTGCACGGCGAACATCCTGCTTTCAGGTTTGTTCTTTATTTCCCCCCCTCTATGGCACTTTTTGCATCTATTCTCTTCTTCCTGCTGCTGCTCTCTCTCTCTCTCTCTCTCTCTCCCCCTTGTCATTTTATCAAAAAGGTGTATCATTTTTGTGGACCTAAACCTCATTATATTTGGTCTAGTGCTTAGTGGCTTGTAGTTGGTGCCTTCTGCATCAGTTTTATTGTAGTACAACTATATATGAATCTGCTTTGTAGTTATTCACTGGAGGTAGATAGATTAAATCTGCTATTCTGCTGTACATGCTTGATCTATAAATAGAAATTTGGGTTCATCTGGACATATGTGCATTAATTAAATGAGACTAACATTTTCAGTTAATACAAAAACTGTTATTTTTTTAATTATGTTTTATCCAACTAAGTGTTTTTACATTGCGACTCTGAGAGTGATGTTTTGGTTGCGGCAGAGGCTCTTGTAATATGTATATCTGATATTTTACATTAAGCTGGTCTATTTTCTTCCCTCTTTGGCTGTCTATTTCTCATGTTCTATTTAACAATTAACTATGAATTATACTAAATCGGTGGGTTTTCTTTCCCTCTTTGGAAACAGTGTAATGAGCCACGAACAGCTGATGCCCTACCAGCAGATGTGGCATCGTCAAATCCTACAACAGTGGGGAAGAAAGGGGAGGCAGGTTAGTTTTTCTGATGCTTTCACTTGGTGTGCATTAGGATCATGTGTAGGAGATTTTGCTAAGTTGACATTTCATCAGGTCCTACCCATGTCTTGGTTGTCCGTGGGTTGGATGAAAGTGCTGATGAAGAAATGCTTCGTTATGAGTTTTCCAAACATGCTCCAATTAAGGTAAAACATGCTGGATTTGTTATATAGGTTACTGAAATATAAATAAACCGAAAGTCCGTAACGACTAAGGGACGATAGATATATAAATATGTATTATTTACTTATATATAAGGTACTGAAATGTAAATGACTATGCTGTATTTCATTCAAATCTGCTGAAGTTATACATATTTTAAAACTGCAGGATCTTCGTCTGGTTAGAGACAAATTTACTCATGTTTCAAGGGGATTTGCCTTTTTACATTTTCATACGGTATGTGTATTTTTAGTTGTCGATTCAGTTGAATGCTGACCTGAGTAAATGTATTTGTACACATTGGTTTATGGGTGATGTATAAATATGTGGCATGATGGCAACCAGAGATTGGGATGGAATTCTACCAATATTTGGATTAACATCAATCAGTGCATGCTTCAAACTTATTAAATAACTAAATTTATCCATGGTAGACTTGTCTATAGACTATAGATCACTCTGATAAGTTTTAATTTTTATCGCATAAGATAGATTTATTTTACTAGTACAAAAACAAGGGTGCCACCCTATTATAGATGCACATGCCAAACAAAATAAAATTGACAGACCTTACAATCCTATGCATGCCAAATGTGTGTAGTCTGCCCCGTACAAGTATATCGAATTCATCATCAAGTTTCTATATGCTCTTCAAATTTTAAACGGCCCAATGGAATGGTTTAGATTCCCCAAAACACACCATATCACATTTCAAAAAAATCTTCTCTTCACCTTGTGAAATGGCTCTTAGCACCCTTCAAATGGTTTTGCGTTCCTTTCTCCTCAACTACTTGACGTTAAGCAAAGGAGCTGTGTCTTTCTCTGTCTTCATCCTCCTATATTCCACTCCATGCCTCCAACTATGTAGGTTGGATGCTAATTGTGGGAACACCCAAGTAACTCCAAACATGGAAGAAATACCTAAATCTCCTTAGCGACACTATAATGAATAATTGGTGATTGTCTCCCTTGTGCTTTGTACATAAAACATCAATTTGGAGTGTTGTGCTTTTGTAAATCAAAATTGGTGAGAATCTTCTTATGTGCAATAGTTCACCCAAAAAAATGGCCACCTTAGACCGAATTCCCTTCTTTTAAGAGAATAGTTGTAAGTGCCCATCAACTATTTTATAACAATTGTAAAAGAGAGATCCCGCACAGCCCCGACAGATCCAAGTAAAGTGCAACTGAGTTTTTCTTGTCCATTGCAATCCTGTCTAGAGCTGGAGCTAGCAATTTGAAGTCCCACAGCAAGTATCATGCTGAAAGCTGACTTTGACACTCTTTTACAACAAACTAATGAGTTTTTATGCTTGTATTATTGTATGCCATGAAGATTTCCCCTATGTTCTGCTATTGATGAATGCACATCACGTGTTGATTTGCATTAGTGTTTAACGTAGAATTGTGGCAAAGAATGAGAACTGTTGAGGAGCATAATTTATGTGTATTTTTTCTTGATAACCATGTAATGGGCTTGTGGTAAATTAAGGAATTCCCATTTCTAGAGTTTCAGATATTAGTTACCAAGTCTACCACAATGACCCAGCACAAAGACTATATGATATTTCATTTTTGCTCTCAAAATGTCACTTGATTTTGTCACGCTGATTTGATTTTGATTAGACAAATGGGACTGCTTAGCTGATTTATGAGTTGCAACGGGGCTCACTATAAAAACTATGTAAGATGCAAACTGCAATTATAAAGGCATTGTGGTCATCTCAATCTTTGTGCTTTTTATTTTTGTCGTATTTTTTTCCACTCTTAATAAAAGTTAGGTTTTTATAAATATAAATATTTTTTTATCATGTTATTGTTTGTTGAAACATATTGATATTCATGCTCAAACTATGGTTTTTATGTGTTTTCTTGTTCTCCAGGTTGAGGATGCTACCAAAGCTCTTGGAGCAACAAACGGGGCAACTCAAGAAAAGAACGGACAGATTCTACGAGTACCATATGCAAAAAGCATTCTTGGACCGGGATCAGGGCCATCAGGATCTTCTCAGTCAAGCAGTCTTGCGGCTGCCGCAATTGAGGCAGCAGCATTTGCTCAACAGGTAGGCATGTATTGTTTCATTTTTATTATAAATGTATAATGGTCTATTCTATACTAAATATGTTAGTGTGGCAATTTTGGATGTTCACTTCTTCGTTATATGTATATACACTGCCATCATGTTGCAACCTGCTCTTTTCTGCTCTCTAGTGCTAGTTAACTTGATCTTATGATATGTAGCACCAGGGGCGGAGGGAGGGAGAGGGGTTTGTGGCCCCTTCAAGGTTCTGAAAATTTTCATTTGTACATATGTATGCTATTTCTAATTTTTATTTTATTTTTCATATTACATGATAGCCCACCAAATTCAATGTAGCACTCCCAAAAAATTTGTGAAGTCTACATTGTATTAGAGTTGGCTTTCAAAATTTAGTAACTCATATAGTGGTCTCAAACATTTACAATAATATTATGATAGGCATATTTTCTTACAATGTTTTGTTTACCATCTTATGTATCAATTCTACGTTAGTATTAAGCATGAATGGCTAAGGTGATAAACAAATTGTGGTAAAAAAAAAATATGATCATCCTAACATTAAGATCCCCTCAACTATTAGCAAATATCACCTTACCGCTTATCTATAAATTCATACATTTTGATCCCTTCAACTATAAAAACTATACAAATAATGTTTAATTGAGATTAATCTCTTATAATTTTATTGGTTCAATTGGCCTCTATTAAGTAATATTCAATAATGATTTAATCAAATAAAATTCATGCCGATCCATTAACAGCTCGGCGAGATCTGCCGTATGACTTCCTATGGAGAAATCCTGGCTCTGCCCCTACGTAGCATCATATACGTTGCAGGATACACTTTGTGCTTGTTCTTGGATTTTTCATAGTTTATTGGTCTTGTTTGGTGTAGCTGTTAGAACAGATTATAAATTATAGCTTAACAGATTATAGATTATGACTTTAATCAGAAAATGTTAATCTGTTTGGTGTAGCTGTTGGATTATAGATTTAAGTTGCTGAGTAGTGTTTGTTAAATAAGCTGTGAAGTAGTTTTTTCAATTAACTTTTATTTTTTATTATTCACTATTTGTCAACATTTCTCATAAAAAATAATAATAATATTTTATAGTCCATTTGGTTCCTTTTCTATTTTAAAAAAAATAAAAAATAAAAAAAAATCTAAGAGTATCACCGTGAATTAACATGTCCACAGCATAAACTGATAATCAGAAGCAAGGGGTGAGCAGTTTCTCAGAATCAACTTTTTTGACTTAAAATAAGTTGTTAGAATCAAAAGCTGTTTGAAATAAGTTTAACCAAACAATCCAAAATAACTTTTTAAAAGCTAGAAGCCATAAGTTGGCTCAAAAAAGTTCCACCAAACACCCCCATTCATCCCATTCTTTATCCCTGCTATCTAGAAAACCACTGTGGTCCTTTTGCTGATCTGAAGCTGAAGTGTCATGTAATTTAAGGAGAGGATTCATTGCAATGGTAACTCAGGAAGCAAACACTTTGAATGCTCATGATTGCTTCCAAAGACACGCACACGTGTATGCACACATGCACGCATTCTACCTGGCTGGTCTTTTCTTATTTTCTTGTATTGGTTAGATGCAATTAGTCTGTATTATTGACGAACCTGATTGAATAAATACATTCCCTCCTTTCAATCCTTGTAGTATGATGCTGTTGGATGGGCACCAAAGGAGTATAATCCAGACAATAAGCAGCCCTCTGGTGGGCAGGAGCCAAGTGGTGGAGAGGTTGCAGGTCTAAGGATGCTTATTCATTACAATCTGGCTTTGTTTGGGATGAAGCATCTGGCTATTATTATGATGCTTCTTCTGGATTCTATTATGATGGAAATACAGGTATTTATTTATTTGGAAGCTACATTTTAGTTGTTGTTTTCCTCATTGTTACTATAAAAGCTGTCTTGATTTTATGTTTATGCATAATGTAGGCAAATGTTGCAAGTGTTGTATCATGTGGGCCATAGCCCCCATGATATCAATGTTGTATTCTATAAGTGAAAGTTCTGATATGTGTTGCTCATGCAATTGCACTGGTGCACTGGTGTGGCATCCTAAATCTTTAACAATCTTATTCAGTGTGCATCAAATAATTAGTTTCATTAATCATTGGTCTTGTGGTGGCATTCAATTTTTAAAGGGCCTCTGGTTTGGATTTCTGCTGTCAACTGACCATTACATTGTGACAGCATTTCTATTTTGGAGTTTATGGTTGGCTTGGATTGCTCTGCATTTATTGATGGTTTTCAATATGGATTATTTTAAGAAAATATAATTTTAGTAATTGTTAAAAGGTTTTCTAACACATGTGATGTGAGCAGAGCCCCGATATTTCTACACTATTCAGAGAGATGAGAGGAGAGACATCACTCAATAGAATTGTACAACTTTGAGAGCAGTATTTGTTGGGTGCTGCTAACAAACCTATCCAATATACTGATGGGGGATCTTTCTTCCAAATTTTGAGGTTTACAGAGGGTTAATTTGTGGAGATATACAAAAGTTTTCATGAGGAATATTTCTTGAAAATAATTAATATTTTTGTTTTATAAAAAATATTTACTCCTACCAATTTCTTCTTGTGTATTTATTGTCGGTTCATTCACAGATGTCATTTCTCATGAACATATGGAGTCATGGCCACAAGAAGCCTTAAACCCCCCAACTCCATGATATTGTCATAAACAGAGTGACTGAAATTGAACAGAGTGAGAAAGTGCAGTCTGAGGACACCGAACTTGAAATGGGGGTAGCGCTGGCGAGTCTACTCTCAGATCCTCCGATCGACCATAAGTGCTTGGGAGATAACTTCTCGGTTTCCATGATTGGAGATGAAATGGCTGCGGGTCTAGCAACAACTATTTTGGATGCATCTATTGCACCCTCTCTCACTTGGCAGTACGAGGAGGGATTTTTGTCCAGCAGCGCCGGGTCAGGTAGTGAGCCGGAATCTGATTCCACCGA